GCAGGCGGACAAGGACCGAGGTGAGGGGAGAGGCGCCTGCAGAGGGGCCCTGGGCAAACGGGGGGAGTCAGACTGGGGGGCTCGGGAACAGTGCCGGGACGCCCTCGCCTCGCCGCGGAGCCCGGGGCCCGCTCCCCGCGCGCGTCCAGCCTCGCCTGGTCCCCAGAACGCGCGGGGACCGAGTCCGTGCACTTTGGAAAGCGAGGCGTCGGCGTTTCGTTGACGGAGATTTCCTCTTTTCTTCGTTTCTTCTCCAGGGAAACTCACCGCGGAGCTGGGTATGTCCTGGGCGCCGCGCGCACGCCACGCACCCGATGCGCGGCCTTTGGCCAGCGATAGATGGCAAAGATCTCGTTCTTAACCCATCCCTCCGCGCCTCCCGTCTTCTCTCTCAAACGGACTAGCGAAGCTGCCCCGGAGGCCCGGCCTCACTCAGACCCTCTGGACAGACCCTCCCAGCCCCTTCCCTGCCGCTCACAATTCCACTTAAAGGTGTAGCCCCTGGCTCAGGTTCCTAGGATAGCTTTCTATTTTAAATGCACGTGCCACTGGGAAGGGTGGCACCGTAAGCCTGCACGGAAGTGGTATAGCATATAGTATCGTCTACAGGAGTGCTAGCGCTGCCCTGCTCAGGGGCATTTACTTTTAAAATACACAAGGCGGACAGGTCAAAGGCATGCATTTCCAGTGGCAAATGATCGGTCCTGGCATCCAGCGAGGAGAAACAACTCAGTGTGCTGTCCTCCCCGTCCTTTAAATAATGCACCACACGCCCGGAGGCGCAGGCGGGCTGTGCTCTGTAGCTGGACTCTGTGGCTGGACTCAGCGGCTGGACTCAGCCAGGACACCTGGCAATGACCGGGCGGATGAGCAGTAGCTTCTTCAGACCAGACCTGAGCCCTGAGAAGAGGCTCCTCAGTGCCAGTACCTGCTCCCCTTCCCAGGCCCCTCCCACGTGGGGAGTTCTGCTCTAAGAGCAAAGACTAGGATGAGGTGTAGGAATCCTGCAGGGGAGGGTGCAGAGACTGGGAGGGGATTGAGGGGAGCGGTGGGCTGAGACTGAGGAAACACCTTCCCAGTGGCCTGGCTGCCTTGGGAAATGGCCCACCGCCCAAGGCTGATGCTTCCTCTGCTCTGCTTATAGGGAAGGTGCAGTCAGAGCTTGGTAAGTGACCCCTCTTGGACTGTTCCTTCTTGTCCACCTTTTAGCATCTGGTTACCCAGGTACGTTCTGATCTCCCAACCAGGTCTGATGGCCAGGCTGGACCCCGCTGGCTCTGTGGGCCTGGGCGGCAGGAGGAAGGGGAGGGGGTGGAGTGGGTGCAGATTCCACCTGTGAGCAGGGAAGCTGCAGGAACCTGGTTCTAATTCCGTGTTTTTCCTTCACTGCTTCAGACTGGAGAAGAGCTGAAGGCCAGGCTGGTGAGTGAAGTCCATTTCTCCCCCATTGTCCACTTTACACCTCAGCGTCCCAGTCACTCTCTCTGATTAACCAAACCACATCTCCTCCCATTTATTCCACAGCCTCACTCAGCATAACTTAGTCTGTGTCACTGGTAGAGGTTATATTCGAGTTTTTCATACTGTCCTGAGGTGTAGGCATACTGTAAACCATGGGTGCCAAGCCTGGCTGCAGATAAGAATCCCCTAAGCTCCTGGTGCCAACCCTCAAAGACTGACCTGTGGGTCTGGGGTGGGCATGCTACCCCACACGTAAACATTTCTCCCTGTGTCTCCCTCCAGTCCCCCATAAAGCCACCAATCTAAAGCCTACCTTCTATTCTATGTATTCTTGCAAACTGTGCACTTGTTTTGTGCACATCCATTTTAGTTTATGTCCTTTACAGTCCCATACTACTCCTGGCTTTTCTCGCCATCACGGTGTTTTAATATCCATCCTGCTGCCACATGCACATCTGCCCTGCTTCCCCTTGTTGCCGAGCCTCCATTTCAGCCAGCCGCCCTCCTGAAGCAGCAGCCAGTCTGCTCTAACCCACTCCACCACACGCAACACAAGCATGCCGCCTTCCGGCTGTGTGGAGGCTTCTCCGGATGGACACCCAGGAAGGGCATTGCTGGCCCAGGGAGGATGTCGCCAAGTAGGCTAGCGGGATCCCCGAGGGCAGCGCCATCACCCCACCATTGGCAGTGCATGGAGCCCCACATGCCCCTGTTCCCTGTGAGCCAGCTTGCTAAGCTTGCCAGTCAGGAGAGAGGAGTGATTCTCGCTGTTTTCTCAGTGCGCACGCCTCTGAACACTAAGGAGTCTGGGCATATCATGTGCGAGTTGGCTGGTGGGGGTTCCTCTTCTGAGGCTGAATGGCTCGTGTTAAGAAAGGAGGCAAGACAGGTATCCAGAGGACACGTTAGGACAGGAGCCAGCCTCAGTGGGGCCTCCTGCGGGGGGCCAGTCCCAGGCGGAGGCTTTCTCTCCATCCTGCAGACACCGTGTTGCGGTCCGGGGCTCTGTGCTCTGGTCCCCGCCCTCCTGAGCACACTTCGGCTTGCATGCAGCTCGGGTATAACCTAGCACCGACGCCAGCGCCTTACTGCATCCCGAATCCTCAGGAAAATGGGCCGAAACCGGCTGTCATGGTGGGAGAGGGCTCTTCAGTGTTACAGTGTCCCCCCTGCGTCTCTCAGGCCCAGGGATACCGACTCAGCTCCCTGAGCCTCATTTTCCTCTCTGTTTGGTTTCAGAGTGGAGAGCAGCCCAGCAATATGCAGGTAACTGGAGGTGGGGCCAAGGAATGACGTGACTTAGGTTGGCTGGACCTTTAAACAGAGGGAGGTGGAGTGATCTGAGATTAGAGGAGGAGTCTGTCCAGAAGCCAAGTATAAGCCTGCACACACAGACATACAAGTCCACTTGCACAGACATACCACCACCCACACGCCTGCGTATGCACATATGCACACATACATGCTTGCATGCAGAGATGTGATTAGCCCACACAGGTATACATTGGTGTGCACATACATACCCCCACAAGCATATATCTGTCTTGGTCTTGTTAATCCTCACCAGAGGATATTCTTTGTAATTGATTTTCATTGAGAGTGGAAGGGAGAGGGAGAGACAGAAACATGATGTGAGAGAGACACCTCGATTGCTAATTGGTTGCCTCCTGCTTGTGCCCTTACCTGGGCGGGGGATCAAGCCTGCAACTGAGGTGTGTGCCCTTGACCGGAATCCAACCCACAGCCAACCCTTCAGTGTGTGGGACCCACGCTCTAACCACTGAGCAACCAGCTAGGGATCTTTCTTGGTTTTACTGGGTCTTTCCATCTGCAGGAGGCTGTTTGCAGGAGCCAATGCAGAGTTGTAAGGAACCTTCCAGATGGTCTGACGGAAGGGATCCTTGGGGTTCCCATCCATCAAATGGGTGTGTTCCGGCAGCTATGGTGATGGCAGGGCACTGGACTAGATCATCTCAGAGGTCCCCTGCAGCTTTAAAATCCTAAACTTGCTGTAAAACTGAGGCACACACACCCACACACACACTCACACACACACACCCCTGAGGCTCAGAGCTCAGTGATGCTCTCTCTAGGCCACACTGGTGGTGAGACAGCTGGACTAGTTCAGCCCTCGGCTCCCTCCCCTGGACCAGGACTTGAGGGCAGTGAGCTCTCCATCCCCAGGAGCCTGCCTGTTGCTGTCTCTCCTCTCCAAGGCACCAGCACGCACCCACCGGTATAGAATTCAGGAGCCTTCCAGTTCAGGAAAGAAATAGGATTCCTCTTATCACATTCAAATGCAGGCCACTTCAGTCTCCCAGTGTTTGGGGTGACGGTGGGAGTGAATATTCCACCAATTGTTCCGAAAATAGAGGTTGGCCAGTTGGGAGGAGACAGGTAGGGCCCGGCACCCTGCAGAGCACTAACTCAGAGCCTCTGCGCAGTGAACGTGACCCTGGATTGGGCCTCAGCACACCCCAGCCTGGAGGTCTCCCAGGACGGCAAGAGCGTGTCCTCCCGCGGGGCCGGGGCGGCGCTGGTCCCGGCTGTGCCGGGAGACCCGCAGCGGTTCACCGAGC